CTGCGATAATGCACACACGGAATAGGCTCCTGGGAATGTATATTCTTACGGAAGAGGCAATAAAACTCTGTAAAGTAGGTTCTATTCTACTTTTTATTGACGCAACAGGGCGTCAAAAGAGACTTACTCTAAACCCAGAACGGGGTACAATAGACCCGACAGTTGCAGTGCTACATCCCCTAACAATAATAACAACTAACAAAAGTAATATAAATACTACAATAAGATAAGATATAACAATGATCAGTGAGCAGACTGTTGCAATATAGTAAACCCTTTCCGATGCAGCTCAACAGACACGTCTTGTCTTTCGATTAAATGTTTTAATATTTCACTTTGAGAAGATAATAATATCAATGGGGACAATAGTACCAACCAAGGAATCCAATAATTCGGATTCTCTTGCCGACCCAAACTATAAACCAGTCAAAGAGTCTGGTCAGAAGATTCATTCTCTTCTAGGCAGAGAGTGCAAGCAGATCCATTTTGTTGCGTTGATAGGTCAAGGAGTTTAAACTCTGGCGAAAAATGTTTGGGTTTATTTCATAAATGATATATGAGATATGAGATATAAGATCAATCAAATTATACACATTTCTGAAGACATTGTAACTACAACATTATTTTTTACTTATCAAAAAATCTTTTATTAACAGTGGTTCTCACATGTTTTGGAGAATATTTCATATGGAAAATTTTAATTTTATTTGATATATGTATTAAAGAACTGTAAATCTTTATAAAATAAAAAAGTTATTATAACGATTATTAGTTCAGAAGTTTAATTGCCAAAATGTGGTTGTTATTACTTTGTGACATTTTTGGCTACAATTTCTGTGCTAAAAATTTATGGGCTAAGAGTCGCTTGCCAAATGAGGTAGATAAAAAACTTCATAACATTTAATGTGTTTTTAAGTTTCTGTGTAAATAAATTATATTCTTTTGATTATGTTAAGTTTATTATCAAATTTGAACGACAAAAATAACGAAAAAATTGAGTTAAGAAAGGAGAATCTTCAATACTCATGCTTGGTAATAAAATCAAAAATCCTCCTGCTTTGATCTAGAGTTTTATATATTAGTGACTGGGGTATGGATGGGTTTCTGTACTAGATTTGCAGATTTTTTGAAGATGGCAGACTCATATAATCATAATTTATTTAATTTTTCTTGAACATAATTTTAAATAATAAATTGACTTTATTTATCTATGGGATTTAAGTTATTTTTCCAAACAAAATTTGAGACTAAAACGTTTATCAGACAAACATATATGAATAGTTGTAATAATTCATCTAAATTCATTTAAAATGATTCTAAGTCTTATCTAATGACCTTTGTTATAGATGAAATATTCTAAAATATTTACAGTTATTTAATTAAGACCTTAATATGCTAAGTTTATAAAATAATAGTATGAGTTATAGTTTTATTTTACTGATTTAAGTAGGATATATTTAAGTTTTGGGTGCAGATTAACACCTTAACACATTATATTTCACATCGAGTATATTTCATTATCATTGAAATTTATAGAATAAGGTAAAAAGAAGCAAAGATATGATTCCGTAATAAATAAATTTTGTGTTACTATTATTTCAATGATTTCCCACTCTATGATTTATTATACTCCGGAAGTTAGAACCAAGCAAAATATTTACTGCAAAGGTATTCCTTTAAAAAATCGTGCCCAATAACTAGTACTCATGACTCGACTATTGTAATGTGAAAGCTTTATAAACTGGGCTTAAGTATGTTTTTTAAAATCTTGCTTAATGTTAAAGAAAACGTAAGAAAAAGTGATTACTCCTTGGTTTCAGTAAGTAAGTATTAAATTAAATTATTTATTTATATATATTTATATTTTATGTTATTTATTTTTATTTGTTTTTTTTTTATATATGAATAAAGTTGGTTCTTTATTGTTTGGTTGCTTAATTGAAACTAATAGATTTACATTATACTTATGCAGTAAGCAGTTAAACATTTGGATAGTAAAACGTAGTGTAGGTAAAACAACTATTAATAGTCAAAACTATTACAATTAGAGACAGTTTAAGTCTCTAATTAAAAAATCGAATCCCTTAGAGTCATGTTATGCAGACAGTCAAGTTACATCATATGGAAAACTGTTGTTGTTTTTAATATATATTATAAATTTGAGAATCATTGATCGTTGGTCAATCATTTGACCAAAGATTGACCAACGATCAATCTTAATTAGCTTCAAGAGTACTGATTAAAAAAATATAAAACCAGAAATAAAAACGGAATTGTATGAAAGAGAGCATAAAACTCTTATGACTATTTGTCATATCACTACCCGTATAAAATAATTCTTAAGAAAAACCCCTTATACCAATTTTTTAAATAAGAACTTTTCCAGCCATACCTTAACATTTGGATTATTACCATTAATAACGTCAAATTCTTATTATTATTGTTAGGAGATGTGGCACTGCGACCGTCGATCCCATTGTGCCCCCATGTTAAATTCTCATTGAAAATGAATTTCCTTGAAATGTATAAATAATGTTAGGGAATTATAAATATATTTGAACAAAAAATGCATAAATAAGCATTATTAATGAAAGCATTCAGTTAGAAAAAAAAAAAAAAATATAGAAATCATATATACTAGTATATTTATAAGTCGGAGAACTGTTTGAAGCAAAAAAGCCTGCATCTCAGAGGATGCACAATTTCAATGCTCAGCACGTAGTTAAACAATAAAAAGTCCTTAATTAATATTACACAATAAAGTGAAATAAAAGCGTTATTTGCACTTAACTGGGATATTAAATGAGTTGTGAATGTGAACCCATGAAAACGTAGCCTTTCATTGTATATAATGGATATTGCATACGCAATGGAAAAAATATTTTTTTTACCGCGTTGAATGGAAATTACTAAAAAGTAAATTGAAATATGAATTTCTCAGGACTTGCCGATTGTTTTTAGTTCTAGTGCTAAAGGAGTGAAGTCAATGTTTGCTAGAAGATATGAAAATCAATTTAACAAAACAATGCTATGGGTAGGTAATTATTTTCCAAACCTTTGTTAGAGTTTTACGCAGCAACTATGCAATAAATAAGCATTCTAAAGCCCACGGATATTAAAAAAAAAGTCCGGTAAAGCTGTCGTTATCATTTGACATCTATAGAGAAAGATTTTGTTTGTTTATAAAAAAAATTTAATAAAAATATTTATAAAATAATGAGTTCTTATTAAATGGAGAAAAGCAAAGGTAAGCAGGAGTTGTTTTCAATTAGATATCAATTCAATATATTTCCAAAAATGTTTATATATATATATTATTAAGAAAATTGGTATTTTTTTTACTCTTAAATATATTTTCTTGATATATCTTTAAAATCCACACAATATTTTTAAGTACGTACACCTTTTTTTATTACTTTATTTCATATAATTTTTGATGTAATATTGAAAAAGGAAATTGATGTTGATGTTCATAATAAAAATTGAAAATGTATTCCTTGTACTTCAAGCACTTAATAAAAGTCAAAACATGAAAATTATTTTTACACTAAAAATGTAAGGATTATGGAAAGCATTTAATGCATTAGAAATATTTTAAAAAATATTAAATTTTACCTTTCTGAACACGCAAGAAAATGCATCAATATTGTTAGTCGCACTCAACTACTTTGCAGGAAAAGAAGAAAAAAACGACGAAGTATTGATGCCACAAAGAATAGATGGAATAATTATACCTGTTCGCAAGGAGCAATACATTGAAATATAGAAAAGATAACACCGACTGGATGAAGTCTAATTCAGCAGAACAGAAATATATTTCTAATATTATTGAAACGTTTTTTATATTAACAGGTAAAGTTGTGGTAAAGAATTGGTCTCTTAGAAGAGCAATCATATTTAGTTACTGAAGTGTAAGTCTATACTTCTCAGATATATTTTTTCGAATTAAGTATAACATAATATACTTTTAGTTAGAACTGTTGTGAACGATGATAGCGAATGAGCACGAAGATCGGTGAAGAGGGAACTCAAAAATAAAGCATCATAGGAAGCACCCTTTTATAGCTATGTTAAGTGGGAGCACCTGCTTATAAGTAGTTTAGAAGAACTCACTCTCAAACACAATTTTTTGCTTTTTGGAATCTAAAAATACGTCTGATTAAAGTTATCAAAAAATTAAAGAGCGATGTGCATTGTTCAGAGAGGCAACAAAACTAGAATGAAGAAGAAATAATTCTCACAGATAAACTATAACAAAAAATTTATTCTCATTTTCTTTTACAAACTCTTCGAATGCCCCTCGTACCTATCGCTTTTAGATTATATATATTGCAGATAAAAACTATTAGTAAAAAACTTTAGTTTGTGTTGTTGCTTTTTGAGCAATACTTCGAGAAACTTAAGGATAATCGATATACCAAATTGGTTTCAAGCTAATATACAGATCGGCTGATAAAGTATATATAATTAATTTAATCTTATGAGATAAAAAATACAATTAGCACATTTAAAATTGAGATGAGAATATAGTTTTCGGTTAGTTTATACCGGCGATCTAGGCGGATCTACATAGGCCAATATGCACATTGTGCAACAGTAGGAGGATATAGTTTTATACCAAGTAAAAATTTTCGTCGATACAGATACATATTTAATATGACTTCTTAAACAAAAGATTTTGATAAAAAAAAGTTTATAGTATTTTAATATACCTTTATATTACAGAAAACTCGATTAAATAAGATTGGAAATTTTCTCAAGCGATGAATTTTGTCGATTTTTTTTTTGATTTTTGCTTAATTATTACTTGTTTCTTATATATATAATCATATATTAAATCAATTTTTATATATTTTTATTATATAAATTAAATTATTAATCATTAATAATTACTATTCACAGTTTAATCTAAGTGAATTTCTATTACTTTCTAAATCTCCATTCTAACTTAACTTAACAGTTTTGTATCTGTCAAGTACTAAATTTTCGAAATGCAACTCTGTCAATTTTGACATTTCATTAAATTATTTTTATAGCAAGAAAGCATTAGTTTGACTGTTTGTTGTAGAAATTCAGCGGTTTAATAATTCACTGAAATGACGTTCCAACTTATCGGTCATATGCCTGCATGCAATACTCTAGAAGATACTCTAAAGGAGATGTTGAATGTTGCTTTTGACCAGGTTATTTCAATAAATTTAATAATTATTTTGTTATACTGTGACAAATTTCATCACACAGACTGAGAAAGTCGTTCAGGAGTCATCTGCAAAGCTTATAGAGGAGTTTAAAAAGTCATCCAATAGTAAAATAAGACAACTGGCTAGCAGTAGGACTATTTTCAAGGCTAGAAGGTTTGCGCGTTATCGTCCAGGCGATTCATTTTGGGCGTTGATCCGTAAACACAAACATTTAAAGGAAAATGAAACTTCAATTAAAGATGGCAGGAAACCAGAGAAAAAGTTCGTTTGCAATAAGGATGAACCAATCGAAGTTGTACGTGAAGCTGCAACCCAGAACATTGTATATATAAATTTGATTGAAGACTCCTAATTGCTTTTGGATGCAAAGTTTATTTCTTAAATAAAATTAAATTTTGTAATATTCATAAAATTTCATTCGTTACTCATTGGGATATGCATTGAGCTAAAGATACTTCTTATTTTTAATATATCTTTTTATATTTACAATAGTATAATTCTCATATAGTTCATTATATACTACTCCGATATAATGCATCCTAATATAGTCCACTTATACGATTTTGGAAAAAATTTTAATTTCCGACTACAAATAATTATTAGCTGTAAGGTATGTGTCAAAAAAACATAAACGCCGCTGTAAAAAACATGTAACATTAACCCATTTTGGACCACCGTATGGTGCACCACACATTTTATATATATATTAGGTAAAGATAAAGTGAGACAAATCTATCAAATAAATATTCAACTTTTCTCATTTAAACCTGTTTTATTTTACTATCAACTATGAAAAATACACCATATTTAATGGGTTAATGCCTGGTACTTAATGGGTTAAGCCAAATTAGCTGCTGCTCTAACTTTTGTTAAAAAGTCTGAATTAGTTATCTGTAGGAAATTAGCTGTCCCGTTCTAACTTATAGAAAACAATGTATTTGGTTATTCGTGCCAAAGTGAAAGTAAAGGGAAAAGGAAATGGTATACTGGTTCAGCACGAGTATATTCAATTTGCACATTGACGGTGCAAATGTTCAAATATGTTTAAGGTATTCGAATATTCGAAGATGTTCAATCTCAAAGCTCATATGTTCCGTATTTTATGATACTTGGTTTACAGCAAATGTTTGACTACAATATGAAATTTTAACATCTTCTGCCGGTTAGTTGTTTTTAACCAAAAGTTCTTAATCTGTTTTGCTGACAGAAATTATATATGAAACAAGTTTCTTATGTGCGTTATTAAAAGTAAATAATCATAAAGAATATTCAAGGTAGTTTCCTCAAATTTGAGGCATAACCTACATTAAGGATTGGTAGATAATTGTAGTTTATAAAGATGATACTCAGACCATAATGACCTTTAATGAAACCCTTTAACAATCTTAAATTATATTTTGAGAATTTAAGAATGTGATTGTAGGAATACGGTTTTATCAGTGCTTTGCTTTGTCTAGATTAGATTAGATTATGCTGGCAGGCCAAAAAGGCCACGCGTAGACCACTAAGGTCCATTGCGATACCAGATTGCTTTGTCTAAGTTCTGGGAAGTTTTCTCAGTACTCTCTCACATAATCTATTACAAAATAATATGGACTGCATCTTCTATTCATAAATTCTCAATGAATATTTAAAATTATATTATGTTATGTATTTCTGATTTCATTAGTTAACCGAGATGGTTAACCAGTAAGGCAACAACTTAGCTGCTATTAAGTATATTGTATATTCTGATCAATTTTTCTGTTAAAAATCTGCATTTAAAATATTTTTACTTAAAGCATATTAATTTTATGTAAAAATAAGTTTTATCTTATTCTTCTTTTCCAAATCTTTATTAAATTTGCAGTTCTTGTTATGTTTCAATTTAAGTTTGTGTTTAATTTCGTAGAAAAACAAATTCGTAGAAATACATTTATCACTTTATTAATGGACACATTTCAATAGAGCAAACTAAATGATTTATGGCCAATAGTTTAAGAGCTTTTCATTAGCAAAGCAAATATCAGCACAGACTAAGGATAATAAATAAACACTTCAGGAAGCATTAACCACAATTCTGGAAATTTTGCTGTCAGTTAATTTAGTTGCCAATGAAAATAGCTTACAAAAATTATTTTGAGTAAATTATTCAATTGCACTAAATTCTAAATTGTCTCGATTCCTTTACGGAAAAATTGCTTTAATTTAATATAAAAATATTAAGGAAATCAGAAACTTATAAAAAATATTAAACAAAAAAATTGATATTTACATGAAATAAATAGTAGTTTTATTTCTGATTTTCTGATTATTTATATAATCATATATCAATACACAGGAGCTGACTATAGACTATTGTCAAAATATTGTCAATATTCAATATCAATACATTGTCAATATGTCCACATGACGTTTATGAAGTACCAACCTTCATGACACTTCGACTAGTTACAATAAAAGTGACAGCCATTTAAGTGAAGCTACTTTTGTTTATTTCAAATCAATGGATTCAAAACAATTTATCATTGGTTCTTGATGGCCCGAAGCCAGATCTACTGGCTATTCACTGATCTCAAAAAAATGCTCGCCGGTAACAAATTCATCTCAAATGAAGATGTAATTGCTAAAACTGAAACCTATTTTGAGGTAAAAGACAAATCCTTTTACATGCACGGCATCAAAAAGTAAGAGAAGCGTTGAAATGGTTGTTTTGCTCTTGAAGCAGATTATATTGATGAGTAAAATCGATTTTTGGAAGAAAATTTAATTTTCTTAGTTAGTCACACAACTTATTGAGTAATTTGTTAATAGTAGTATTATATTATATATATATATACCATTAGTAAATATGATCTACTAGAATTTCGATAATGAATACCTAGCTTGGCCCTATGTCGTTCAAATACCCAGTGTTGTGAGAGTACCATTATTATTTTAGATACTTTCACTTTGTTTCTGTGGTTTGATTTAGAAATTATTGATTTGGAGTACATAGAACATGTCTGTTGACCTGTCGTATAAAGTGAAAAAATTATTTTGAAAATTTCAAATTTTTTCTATGTCCAGCAACGAGTCTTGGAGGCCGAAAAGCGTATTTATATTTAAAAATCTTTCTAACATAATATTAAAACCAAATTAGACATCAATAAAAACTTGTTTTGACGTACTATTGACCAACTCTTAAAGTACATAATATCAACTATAAAAACAAGAGATTCCGATACCCGTACATTTTTTTTAAAATTTTTTTCCATAAATAAACTTTTAAAACACTTCAAACTTTACTTCCCCCTTGTTTTGCATTATTTTACTTATAGAAAGGAAAGGAAACTATAAAATTCTGAAGCATCAACACCTTTACAGAATGCAAATGAAATAAACCACAGAAGACAGCAAAACAGGATATTAAATTACATTTACTCCTTTTGTATACCTGCGAAGAGGTATTGATTTCATTAAGGAGACCACAGCACACAAATGGGTGAAAGGAGAAAAAACTTTTCTAGCTTCTATATCTAAGCAAGTGCAATTCAGACTTAACTTTGTTAAACACTTTGCTTTGTAGGATATTCATCGGTGCAAAGTAATTCACGCCACAATAAAGTCAATGAAGTGCATTGCACAGAAGAGGAATGTTAACTAATCGATTAAAAGTTGATTTTAATAAAAATCAGAATAATAAAATTTTTAAGAAAATGATACCATATCTTCCTCCTCAGTATTTATTCCCATGAATAGCACAGAACGCCTACTTATTTTTAATTTGTATAAAATGAGACAAGTTCTTTTGCCAAGAACTGTTGGACCATTGAGTGAGGAAAAAATCGAAACGAATTTTGATCCTTTGCCAAAAAAGAAAATATAAATACCAAGCGACTGAATAAAACTTCAATTAAAGTTTTAGAGATTTGTCCTCTATTGTGGTGTAGACAACTTGAAAAACTTTGATGATTGCAATGTTGGCAGATGCTTTGGTATCCTCACATTCCGTACATATTCCATACTCTATGTAAAATTAAATGCAAAGTCAAATAAAAATCATACTAATGTAATCAACAGGACATTCGAAATTGTTACTCACATGAATTGATTCTTCACTGCAAAGTTAATGACTTCCAAGCACCTTTCTGAGGAATGCGGTCACGTGCCAGGTCCTTGCACTCTTCATATTTATCATAAAAAGTTTTTACTAAAATAATGTCTTGTGTTGAACTAAAGTCCTTGCAGTAGTAAGCGCTTCTGTTAAGCAGAAGTCACTATACTTACTTCACCTTTAATACACTTCAACTGTGAAGCTTTAAGTTTTCAAGCTAAATGTGCAGCTGCAAAGGAGCTGCCACAGACACAAAGGCAAATTGCTTGTTTACTTGAACTTCATATTATTTTAAAATATTTTATTCACATATTTTCCAAATATTTCTTATAAAATTAAATTAAAAAATGTGTAGAAATATTTTCGAGAAATTATTGAAATTTTTTTACTATGCCATAATTTGATAGGTTTTCTTCTTGCAATGAAATTTGTTTGCCAATCAAATTGCTTACATTTCTGACACGTTTCACCCAAAGCACGTTATATATGAGAATATTTTTTCTTATTTAATATTATCACTTTTTCGTTTTTATAGTTTTTACAGAAAATAAAATATTTAGAAAAATATTTCACCTTTTAGTGAATTCATTTTTTTGAGTCTTAGCGGGCAAAGTTTTTCTAGCTGATTTTCTTGCTGCCAACACATCACATTAAACTAAAAAAAAAAAGAAATCATTTTGGGTCGTTTGTCTACTTCAGTAATATTTGCATAATATCATCCGTCATCGAGAACTCGAAAGTCTTCCAACACAAGCTTCGAGCTGCTCACACACAGACGTGATAATAATGAATATGGCAGCTCATAAAAGGTTGCCCCATTTTTATTTGCTGCTTCCACTTGCACCCAGAAAAGGTATCACCCTGCCATCCACTGTGACCATTTCTGTATCTCTTCCCCACTTATGTATGTCTTCCCCATATTTGTATGGTTTCATTTTATTTCACTTCATTTTATTTTGTTTCTACCATTTACCGCTCACTTTTTTCTTGTGATATTTTCCCAGCTGATGTGAGTAATTTATGGCATAAAGTGACAATGCCGGAAATGCCACAGACATATACTCACACTTACGACTAAATAGGAGTGCAAGTGCAAATACAATGAACTTTATGACAGCACAATTTTATGCAATATACTCGTATATGTAGTATATGAAAAAGGTAACCTAAGGGTCAAAAGTCAAAACTGAATTTTATGGTTTAACAAATATGAAACAAAAATAGCAAAAAATTTTTAAATTCAGAAATACCTCAGATTTTTTTTTAATAGTTTTATACAAATAAACAAA